TATAATATAGTATAATAAAGTAATAAATTAGCCTTCTGAGAACATAGAGTCAGATTCATCATTCCTCCCTGCCACAAGGGTCCCTGAAAATACAATAATTTATCACCTTTGGAGGAAAGGGAGAGCCACTTTGTGTGAGCTACAAGGATTCCATGGGCTTATGCAGGGAGAAAATTAGAAGGGCTAAAGCCCAACTAGAATCAATCTGGCTACTGCTGTAAAAAACAATAAAAAACGTTTCTATAAATACATTGGCAACAAAAGGGAGGCTAAGGATGACCTCGCCCTTTATCAGATGTGGGGGGAAAATATGGTGACAGGATGAGAAAGGGCTCCGGGCATCTAATTCTTGCCTCAGTCTTTCATAGTAAGACCAGCTATTCTGCATCTTGTCAGACCCCTGAGATGGAAGATGGGCAGGGAACAGAATGAAGCCCCCATATTCCAAGGGGAAATGATGACAGAAGTCTACAGAATGGATGGGGTCCACCAAAGAACACTGATGGTCCTGGTAGAAGTGCTCACTGGGCCACTTTCCATCATTTACCAGCACACCTCTCTGTATGGAGAGGTCCCAGGTGGTTGCTTTTTAGCCAATGTAATACCTCTCTTCCAGAAGAGCCACAAGGTACATCCAGGGAGCTATAGGCCTGTTAGCCTGACCTCAGAGCCAGGAAGGTCATGGAGCAGATCATCCTGGGTGCCATCATGCATCAGGACATCAGGCAGGGGTTCAGAAAAGGCAGGACCTGCTTTTGACCAACCTGACCTCCTCTGACAAGGTGACCCACTTAGTGGATGAGGGAAAAGCTGTAGCTGTTGTCTGTCTGCCTGGACTGCAGGAAAGACCTTGAGACTGTTTCCCACAGCATTCTGCTGGAGAAACTGGCTGTTCTTGGCTTGGATGAATATTGTGTGTGGCAGGACCAGGACAGGGATTGTGCACCTGTGCTGGGCACTGGTGAGGCCACACCTCGAGTGCTGTGTCCAGTTCTGGGCCCCTCACTGTAAGGAAGACTGGAGAGAGTCCAGAGAAGGGCTGGGGAAGGGCCTGGAGCACAAGTCCTGTGAGGAGCAGCTGAGGGAGCTGGGGGTGTTCAGCCTGGAGAGAAGAAGGTTGAGGATCACTTTTCATTACTGCCAGAAAGAAGGATGGAGCAAGGTGGGGGCTGATCTCTTCTCCCAGATAACCAGTGATAGGACAAGAAGTGCCCCCAAAGTAGCCCAGGGGAGGTTTAGATTGAAAATTGGAGAAAATTTCTTTACTGGAAGTGTTGTCAAATACTGGAATGGGCTCCCTGTGGAAGTGCTTAAGTGACCATCCCTGGAGGTATTTAAAAGTTGTGTAGAAGTGGCACCTAAGGACAGGATTAAGTGATGGACTTGGCAATGCTGGGTTAATGGTTGGACCTGATGGTGTTAGAAGTCTTTTCCAACCTAAATGATTCTATGATTCTGTAAACATCAGGGTCTGAGCCAGTTAACCTGCGGGAAATCACACTGGTAAGGTCTCTTATGCTTGAACAAATCTTGTTTAATGTATTTAGTGATCTGAAAAAATAGTTATAAAAGCAGGACAATACAAAACTGTAAAATACTAGAAGAAATTATGTGTTAATGAACATAAAGTAGTACATGTGAGGAGATAAATGGAACTGAAGCACAATTTCTTTCTTCACATGTATGGTGAATAGATTATTTATTATCACTCATGGAAAAGACTCTGAAATCAAAATAAGTGTATTTTTGGAAAGGTAAAGATGAAACAGCTCTCTGGAAAACACTTTAGTAAAAAAAATAAATTAAGAATTGTTGGAAAATAGTGACCGTGCAGAAAATGTTTCAAACTTATGAATTTACCTGAATCTTGTATATGGTGTCCTGTTTTCCCCATCACATTTTGGGACATAGGGAAACTGGAAAAAGCTTTTTGAAAAGGTGGAAAGAGTAAGTGAATGATCAGAAGGTTGGAATATGGACTATCAGGGGACAGACTAGATAGACTGAGTTTCTATACCATGGAAATAAAATAACCTGGAGAAGATGGGGTAGAGCAAACAAAATAACGAATTGCATGAAGAGGGTGAATACAGAACCATAATTTCATTTACAGTATCTCTTAGAATATAGCAACTAAAGTGTTTGTATCTCCAGGCAGCAAGTTTAAAATAAACAACAAGAAACCCTTTTTCATACAAAAAAAATAAACAATGTGAGACACTGACACTAGATGTTGCAGAGGCCAAAAGTTTAACTGAGTTCAAAAAGGGATTAATGGCTACTTTCGTTTCATGAATTGTAGAAACATCCTACTCAGACACAACTTCTAGCTGAGGAAGTTCCTAAACCACTAATTGCCAGAAGATGGGAAGGAGGGGTTGTTCAGCTCTTGCCACACTTCTTATAATCTTTCCTTATGCATCTCCTAATGGGCATGTTGGGACCAGGATAATGGGCTAAACAGAGTTTGCTTGTTTGGTTTTTTTTTGTTTGAACCATTATGGTTGTTTTTATTTTGTAGGCGTAGGGTTTTTTTTTTTTTTTGTAATGGGCAGACAAAATGGAAATTTCTAACTTGTTTTTTGAGCTCTGTAAATGCTATCTGGAATATGATTCTTAATAGCTAATTAAGGATGATCACACTTTTTTGCTTTCCTCATTTTAATATGTAAAAAATGAGTCTATAAATTCATCTGCAGAATGCTTAAGATGATTTTCTCTACATACAGTGAAATGTGGATGAAGGTGAATAATTTAACTATTTCATTTGAGTGATAATGATGTGTGTCTAATTTAAAGGACAATGTGTCAGAAAAGCTAACAGTAAACGGGGAGTTTTCTGTGGTCTTCTAGAAGGAGATGAATGGTATCATTTTTTGCTCTTGTCAGTTAAGGAATATTAAGTTTCAGTGAAAAAAATATCCTACATTCTACAGTTGTACTTCTGGCAATTAGTAGGAACAGAAGCAAACAAGGAGAGTTTCTTTAACATCTATGCGCTTTTTTTTTTTCCCTTGTGCAATTCTTAGTACCTCTTTTTTTCCTTCTTAGAGTGAAGAATAAGAATGGCTTTTTGGGACTAAAGGAAATATGAATTACTTTTTTTTTTTTTTTTTTCCTCTTACTAACTTTCTATTCTAGGGTTTTTTTTGTCCATGTGAATTTATAATGTAGAAGTTTATTTCTACTTACTAAACAGAAATTTAATTAATCATCACAGTGCACTTTGGAAATGAAAGATACATTACTCTGTGTCAAATAAGTTTATCCTGTTCTGCATGCAAACTATGCACATTGTTATAAATCATGGTCTCAAACTTCTAAAGTTGTTGGTTTTGTTTATTGGGAAACCTTGCTTCAGATCCAAAAAGGCAATAAGGAGACTACACATAGCAAAGAGAAAGTGGGCCTCAATCGATCATGAAATGCAATTACACAATATTCAGAGCTGAGTGAAATAAAGATCTTAAATAGCAGTAGCCTGTAAAATTCAAAATTAAAAGTAGTTTCATTATATATTGTGAAAAGGGAGATTGAATCAATGAAACTGATCTCTTGTATCTTGTTTGCTGTCAATTTACATGAAATGATACTTGAGGTGAGCCTCCTTTTCCTGTATATGTAAATACATTTTGTTTATTTATGGAATATTACTGGTCTGGCAGGAGGTTTCTGGAGTTCAGCTTGTGCTCATGGTATAAATGGAAGCACAAGAATTGAAAAAGGCTTCCACCTGGTCCTCCTTAGCTTAGCTAATGTGATTGCAGATATTATTCTAGCCGTAAGGCTTTATTTAACAGCACAGAATGTTACTGCCTAGTTGCAATAAATCAGTATCTGAATTAAAAGAATAGGGACTTTCTTTTTGTCCTTTCTTGTATAGTATCATAAAATCTGCACATGTATCCAGAAGGTAGGCAACAATTTACTGTGACTAATCTGTCATATTAACTGTAAGATACCAATAGAAGTTTGAAAAAAATAGTTAAATCCATTTTATCTTGCTGTCACTTAATCTAATCTCTTCTTTATCTTTTATTTTTTATTCTTTGGAAAATTTTAGTATGGTTGGGGTGAGGATTAAGGTATTTTTATTAGGATCTGGCTGCCTTATAAGAAAAAAATCTAGGCAACTTCATCTCAAGACTCTATGGGTCTTGAAATCCCTCTTGAAATTTGTGATCCCTCAAAAAATGAGCTCTGAATCAGTGAAACTTCTGCCTCAGGTACCACATTTTACTGGCTGAAGGGTGCAAGGGCACAAAATGTAAGCCCACTGCCCTTGTGTCAGGATACACTCGTCAAGGAGCTTTTCAGCCTTGCTGGTTCACATCTTATTTTCTGTAGTATTAAAAAAATGCACTTTGGAAGTCATTTTGCAAATTGTGCAACAACAGTGAGAAATAAGGGAGAAGGTAAAGGTCTGGTCAGGAAGTAGAATCCAGCTCTAGTTTCATGGATTATGACATGTAACAAATATTGCAGTATTGTTCACTGTCTTGGTTTGGCTGCATAAGTTTGGAAGGGATTTGGAGAGATGCTGCAAGGTAAAATTTTATTTTAAGCACTTAATAGGCCAGGTGTCTAGGAAAACCCAACAGTCCCATAAACAACAAGCAAACATACCCATAGCTGTGCTCCTTCTCCCATACAAAACTCTGAACGTACGAGAAACATTTTCCCCAAAAAACATAATCAAAACTTTTTACTTATCTCTAATATCCACTGATTTTTCAGACATAATTTTATAGCGGGGTCTGTGGTGTAACAGTGATTAGAAATCCAGAACTTGCTTTTGGAATAAAGAGCTAAATGTGTCACTGTGTTACTTACTGCAAGCAAATTGTTTGTTCAACTATTTGCCTTTGGTCAATCAAGCAGCCTAGTAGTGGGCGGTGTGTGCTTACAGCTGGTTACCACCAGCTGTATGGTGCTGCTGGTGGTTATTCTAAGGTTGTTTTGCTTTAGCTCATTCTTCCCTCTCCTTCTCCGCCTTCCAGCATGCACCTAATCCAGGTGGACTCTGTTCAGCGATGGATGGAAGACCTGAAGCTGATGACAGACTGCGAATGTATGTGCATTCTCCAGTCCAAGCCCATCAGCATTGAGAAGGATGAGCAGAATGAACTCATCCTCTCCTCACAGCACAGCTCTTGTGATAACTTGCAGCTCTTGCTGAAGAGAGCTTGGATCATCAGCACTGAGCTGACCAGGATTGCTCAGAAGCTGGAGAAGAACAGGTGGCAGAGAGTCCACAGCATGACAGTGAGAGTCAACTGCCACGTGCACTCCATGGTGAACGAGTACAACGCCTTCACCAGGAGCTCTTCAGAGGAAATGCACCAGGTGAGAGGAGGCCTTACCTGATGTGTTTCTCTTGCTTTTTATTCTATTGTAATAATTAATAATTGCTTTAAACAATCTATAAGAAATTCTTACATACTGATGATACTGGTCCCTTGTTTAAGACTTTCCAATCCCTTTCCAGCAATGGAAATATTCTTGACTTGCTTTGGATCCTATTTTATCATAGGCTGTTCTGATTGTTAATGTTGACACATTGCATAGAAAAAATGTTTTGCATTTGATGACTACAGAACTAAATTTTGACACCCCATTTGTGAGTTCCTTTGTATTTAAAATATAAAAAATGCTACTTTTTTGTTAAATTCAGTTTTATCTGTACCTGTTTTATTCAGAAAAGTAGATGAAGGGTGTTGATATGAAATATTCTGTTTTGAGAGGGTTTTCAATTAACAAGCAGGGATCATCTATTTTTGTAAAGCAATTGTGTGTATGCATATAACTTTAAAACTACTTTCTCTTGCTCTCTCTGCAGCTTGAAAAACTCTTAATAGACAAGTGTTCAGAATTTACAGCATTCACAGAAAGGTAACTTAAATTTTGTAGTTGAAATATTAATTTTGCTGCTTTATTATGTTGTAGAACTTCTAATGAGAAGCATAAATCCATAGACACCCCCTCAACTATTTGAACTAGGCTGCTGTAACCCTGCAAGGCTTTCTAAATGTTAATGTCTGGTGGATGAAGGGAGTTGCTTTTACCTAAAATGCATCCTAATGAAAAATGGGATCTTCTGTTGCCCAAAGAGTCTGACAGAGACACAAAGTTACAAGTGGATTTTTCAGGACTTTTAGACATCAAGGGAGAAAGTCTGAAAGTCTGGCTGGTGACAAAGTTCTCTTCTAGTTCTGTGGAGTCAGGATTTCAGCTGGTGTGAAACTTGGATTTTGAGACTGGTACTACGTGTTCCTGTATGAACATAGCTGTGCACTGTAAATCAAACCAAAGGAAATACACATTCCATTAAATTGTAGTTGTAGGTTTACTCATCTGCCTGCACTCTGGAATGCTGAGACTGGAAAATAAAAATCTCTGTAATTCTTCTCATGCTATTTCCTCTTTCTAACATAAGTTAGCCATTTCCTCCAGCACGGTTCAATCACTCTTTTTTGGTTTACTTTAAACATTGTGCAAGTCATTCTGTTTTGGGAATATCATCAGGGAAAAAACACCATCTAATTATCAGGAAATAACATTTTTTGGAGCACTATTGCTTTGTGCCAAACCCACAGAGCTCACATTTGTGTTTTATATTTTACTATAAGACACACAGATTTAATAATGAGCTCCAATCTCAAAGTGTCTGCCCTAAATCAGCCCTCTCCCTTCTTGTCTTTTTTGACAAAAAATTGATATAGGTATCTGACAGACAGGTAAAGCTGGAAAGGTAACCTGTGTACAGGTGGAAGCTGATCACCCAAACTATATCTTCCATTACAGTGACTTGCCTGAGTGGAAGATGTTTTGACAATACAAATGAATATGGTTCTGTGAGGAAATATTTCTTATTTCATTAGAATTGTATAAAGCTTTCCATCTTTATCTCTTTTCTTTAATGACAACCAAACATCACTAGTTACAGGATAACTGTACTAACTCTGTAAAGGTGCTTTATGCATCTTTCTGTAGAGGGCCAAATTTTATTTTTGATTATGCTGTTTAACTCATCTGGGCACACATTTCTTTCTTCATCCTTTACCTTCTTTGTCATAGTTTAATGATAGCAGGATAAGAAATGAAAATTACTGAAATATTGATTATGAAAGATAGGTGGATATGCACAGGTGCAGTTGAAATGCAGGCATCCAAGAGTGAAACTATCAGCATAAGAGGAAAAGAGCAGCGCTGCACTGTGTAAACACACAGCATCTGCAGCAAAATTTGGCCTGCAGTCTGTGAGGTAAATTGTGATCCCAGAATTATTCAGTAGTGTCCATCCTTTCATGGTGAATTTACTCTGTGTACACAAAGCTTTGATTGAAGTCTGGAATGATGCTAATAACACGAAGTCCTTGTGAACAGCTGAATTCCAATTATATCCTGTGAGTAACATGGGGCTCACCTTGGACAATCGGGTCTTTTGCATCTTTTTTTTCCTTCATCCCTTTCCCATCTCTTTCTTTTCAGGTGCTTACAGACTGAAGATGAAGAGATACTGAAGACCATGAAATCTTGTGTTAATGAAACACTCACGACAGTTGCCCAATATTTTGGCCAGCTGATAGAGTTGGTTTTAACACAAGAGGCACAGGTTAGTTTATAGTTAAAAAAGCTCCAAACCAAAAAGGTCTTCCAAAATCGTTGGATCTTGAGATGGCAACTAAATGATTTTAGAGGCCGCCTCCCACCCAAGCCATTCTATAATTCTGTGATTAAGAGGAGGATTAGAATTACAGCTCTCAATTTTCAACAAAATTATGATGAATAATGCAAATATGTTGCAATGAGATTTAGGTGTTCGCATTCTCAAATGCTCCAATAACCTTGAATCTCAAACAAAATGATCTTTTTCCTTACCAGGTTACTTACTTTTCCTGATGTCTCTTTCTTGCAAGGCATCTAAATGATGACTTCTGAAATAATAGAAACTTGCAAGTCTAGCTAGCCTATCTTGACCTCCTCTCCTTCCTCTCCTTCCTCTCCTTCCTCTCCTTCCTCTCCTTCCTCTCCTTCCTCTCCTTCCTCTCCTTCCTCTCCTTCCCTTTCTCACATATAGAATGTAATTCTGCTCAAATAATTTGCCCTTGTTTCAGAGGTAATGTTATGCTAAAACTTTGTGTTGTTGCAGCAGAAAAAAGGAAAGGAGAGCCTTAGAGAACGCAAATAGTTAAAAAGTATTTTTTACAGTGACAAAACAAAATTAATGCATGCTATTGGTTAAACTCTGATTGGTTAAACATACCTTGATGTGTTAAGATGGAAAGAAAAAAAAAAAAAGTTGTGGTGGCTTCCGAAAAATCCCTTCTAGTTTTAAAGGATTATTACTAGGAGGTGAGAATATCCCAAATATATTGCAGAATTACAGTCAAACTAACAAGCTACCTCCTAATGTTCTTTGGTTGAGATTTATGAGAACGCCATGAAATGTATGAGTTGAAGTGTGTAAATAACTTTGCATATTTCAAATTCAGTGAGAAGGTTACCATTGTTAAGATGTTTATTCTTTTCAGTCTGAAGGGAAGTTCTTCACTGCTGATATTTCTGCCTTTGGGCATCCTGGCACCTACTGACACACCTGAAATCCTACTCCCTTCTTCTTTTAAAGGAGTGGAATTATTGATGCCACATCATCTTGTGTGTATTTGTGTGACTGAAGGATGTAGAACTCATTAATAAAAATTATTTTATGGACAGTTTTCTGAGCCATTCAGTCAGGCTGTGTGCCCACTTGTGTCATAAAAACACAATCTCTGGGGATAGTTTGCTGCTCTGAAGCAGACTAAGTGTCTGTGTGAGAGAATTCACTTAAATTGTGTAAAGAGCCTTTTTTCTAATAAGTGTATCAGGATTTAATTCAGGATGGGTTCATATCAAATTGTGAACTCTTAAGCTATGTCTTTTATGGAGCATTTTTCTAATGCATTATTATGGAGTATTTTTCTAATGCTAAAGAGGAAGAACCTCTTAAAGGCAAGGTAATTGAATTTTGTATAAATAACAGTGTAAAGCATGGGATACTTGCATTTCTTTTGAAGTTGGATTAAATACAAAAATGCTTACCCTCCTCCTCCTAGGAAACAGAATTAATTACTCTAGTGATTCTATGTCTTTTTTCAGAAACAAAAAATGAAGTAGACTTAATGTTATTTTCACAGCTGTGCTTCTCTAAAGCTGCATTGACACAAATGCAAAAGCAAAACAATCTTTTACAAAGATTAAAAAAATATTTAATCTATTTCCTGCATTGGAGAAATAAACTATATTTCTTTATAAGAATGTCTATTTGTCAGTGACATTTTGACTGAGAGTAGTGATGAACCCAGAGCCTTAGATGGTAGTGTAAGACAGGGTGTAGCAATATTGCTTATAAATAAGGCGGCAGTCTTGTATCACCATGTAATTCATCTTGTACACTAACTAAATTGGTTGCCTTCTGAAAATTCTGGTTCAATCCCAGAACAAAACACAATAACTAAATATTATTAATATTTACTAAACAGCTGGAACATTCCATACCACACGTTCTTATGCACATACCCATTGTCTTCCCCTGTTAATATTAATTTTTAAATATCCCTGTCCTTGGTTCCATCTACTCAAATGCAGTGATAAATGTGTGTTGTCAGTCTGACACCCCCAGTTTTTTGTCCTGTATCCCCAGAACCTGCTGAGGCAGGTAGAGCTCTCGGGCAGCCTGTACGTCACGGAGTCGGCCATCAGCAGTTTGTTCAGCCTTGCCCAGGAAGGAGCTCACCTCTGCCGCATCATAGCCAAGGTAAGGGGTGCATGGAGTAACCCAAAGCAAACTGGCAATACAAGAAACTCATTTCACTAAAGAGTAACTCGAGAGAGTTTACCACCATAACTATCACATTGAGGGCTTTTTCTAAAGAGGATCACATCCCCCCAGTTTTTAGTTTGATAATGTTCAATACCTGTGCAAGCAGCTTCAGTAGGATGGTCAGCTCCAACAGGCTTCTCAGCATTGTTTCAGTTGCAGCTGTCTTTGTGCCATCTGAGACACTATCATTCCATAATTTTGGGAACTTTTGTAGTGTCTCTCCTGACAGTACTTTTTAACTACCAGCCATGGGAATGAAGAGAAACTTTACGATGGACTCTGGCAGACTGTGCAGAGAAACACCTGAAGAAGTCTTGCTCTGTGTGTGTGTGTGGTGTGTGTGGTTAGAGATATTACTAAAAGATGTAAATTTAGGAATACTTTGCATTTATTATTATCCTTTTACAAAAGACCCATTATTGCAGTTACTTCTGTCAGTGTGAATTCTCATTTACTGAGTAGTTGGTGCTAACTTTTGGTATAAATGAGTCATTCTGTCAAGATCCATGATACTGGAAATCCCTGCAGAGTTTGCACCTTTAAGGACACTTGGATCTTGAAGAAGTGAGAACGGTGGGACATGGTGTCTTGTTGAGGATAGGATAATCACAGCCGCAGGGCATGCAGAAAGAGGAAAACCTCCCTCCCCCAGCTACTGCTGTGCCAGTTCCTTGTCCCGCTCAGAGGCAGGGTTAGACAGCAGCATTTAATTACTTCTGATGCACCCTTAGATGGATATTTACACCATAAAAGGTACTCCTCTGTGCTGAAGGCTGAGAACAAGTCAGACTCAGAAACCTGCAGTGGATTCTGTCAACAGCCTAAGAGGTTTAGTTTTTTCTAAATTGGTATTTGAGCTCCACTCAGTGGTACCCAAAAACAATGTTTAAATGCTGAGTATTGAGGTAGTGCAGAATTAACAAAGTAAAGAAAATTGGTCGTGGGCTTTTTATAATTTTATGACTTCCATAGTAGTTTAACTTAGCAGACATGAAGTCTGACCTTTCATAAATCACTAAGTTAATATATTGCTAAAACCTGGGTGTGTCACAGCTTTACAACTGAGGAAATGCATCCCCTTATGCAAAGAACCCTAAGTGGTGTTTGGCTTCCAAATTACAGCAGTGATTGCATCACCTGTCCTGTGCCTCTGCCTGCCCTGTGCACTGGGAAATGCATTTTTCCAGACTGACCATTATCCTTCCCCCTCTGCGCTGCCTCAGTCACCTGCATCAGTGACCAAGGGGGCAGAGGAACTGTAACAGACCAGAATTTCAAATGGGTAAAGAGCTCTGTTCAGACAAAGAAATTTAACAGCACTGAGCTTTGCTTGCTTTGGAGGTTAACTTGCACCTTTCCAAATAAAATATGTTTTTATTTACTGTTTGCAGACTTTTTGGAGTTTCCAGTTTATGACCAAATACCACATAAATGTTGCTTGTGCTGTCATTCAAGCTTCATTTGTGGCAGGTTTCACAATCTCTGAAGCAGAAAGGAAGGGAGGGGCACTGGCTCAAGTTAGCTATGACATGAATGGTTAGATATGACAGTAAAAATTCAGGGTGATTTCCAAACAAAAAATAAACAACAACAGCAGCAACAAATGAAATTGTTCTCTGTCATTATGAAGGTGAGAAAGGATTGAAGTAATACAAAGATTTGAAACTCTTTTATAGAATCTGTAGTTCCCTTGAGCGCTGTCATCGTATCCTTGATAAAACTAGCCAGAGAGATTGATTATTTGTTTACTGTGAAAGTGAAATTCAAAAAATTTGTCCACGTAACCTTGAAGTCTTAGTCTCCATGACAAAGTGTGATCTTGTGGAACACTGCTGTTAGGTTTCTTCCTGTCCCAAGCTATAAGGTACAACTCTAAAGCACACCAATCTTGGAGGCGCAAAAAAAAAAGAACCAAGATAGTGCTGTAAAGCTACAATATTACAGGAGCTGCTCTCTCATTTTACAGTTTGGTAAGGGCTTCAGTAATTTCTTTCCTTCTCCCCCATCCACTGCTAATATTTTACAGAAATTAAAAAAAATTTCTGTAACGTAAAATGCTCTATGATGAAGCATCGCCCATAATTTTATTCAACCTGCAGGCATTCTTTGACACTTTCTTTTTTAGCATGTAACTTTTTAATCTGCTGTGAAAAAGTCATGTTGCTGACTCACCCTGGCAGCCAGTAGTAGTTCTCACTAGCTGTCAGAGACATGAAACCTAAGGTCTCTAACAAAAATTAGTAGTAGCATGCACAAGATAAGAAAATTAGCATTACTTGGAGCAAGTGGGTTATAAATAGATTCGGATTTGTAACAACCAGAAGAATTGGTAAAAATCTGCTTATGAGTTACAACAAATAGGTCATAGAGTCATAAAGAAAATACTTTTTTAAAAAATCATTTTTCTGATTATATAGTCCAATTCCAACTGTACCGAACAGAGTGCTGTGATAATGGGCTTGTAAAAGAGAAAGGAACAAAAATGAAGATATACATGCCTCATAACAGCCCCCCTGGAGAATATGTGACTATTGGAATTCCTTATGGCCATACAGCAAATCATTTGCCCTGAGAAGATTCTAATGCATTTTGCCTTACCTTCTTTATATACCAGTTCCTTTTCTAGCAACTATTTATGATGAAGATCTCTTTGGAGATCATCTGTCAAGAAAATTATAAATGTTGTCAAAGCCTTGATGAGTATTTACTGCACTTGTTGTCATTTCAGGCTGAAACCACAAAATATTCCACCTTAGAATTAGTTGCCTTTTTGCTTCCCCTCTTTATTTACTCAATCCACATAGTTTTGGTGATCGTATTTTGAGTGATTTCATTACCTAAAACTAGCCCTTCTGAACAGAATCCTTCAAAATTGAATTCCTTTCAATGCAATATAGGAGAGAAGTAGGTCATAAAGTAGTAAAGCAAGTGTCCTCCTCTTCCTCTGAATGTTTACCCACTTGTCCAATTTATCTGTGTCCCTGTCAGATGGAATGGTTTGGCATAATTGCAAAAGATACAGGGGATGAATCTTAAAAAAGGTGAATAAATTCTAAGAAATGCTCTTATCCCAGTGGGGGGACTGGTTTTGACAAGCCATGGAATCAGGCTCAGTGTTTTCCACCCATCCTATATTTCATTTGCACATCTCTCAGTTCATTACTCATGGTCAATATTTTACAGCTTAGTAATGGCACAAAATAAAGAGTACAGATCTCCTCCTGACAAATGGAGTGATAAATCACTTCCTGTCCATCAAAGGCAAAATCAGGGCACCCATTTGGCATAGAAAAGGCTTAAAGCAATGTGCCAACATCACTTGATCATTACTAGATTTATCCACAAACTTCTGCTTATTATGGCTAAAGCAGAGGATCAGATCATCCCTGATTCAATTGTACTGTGGGAAAATTCAAATTGACAATGAAATTTAAGCAAAAAACCCCAACAAAACTGTTCCCTTTGGCTTAGGAATGACAGTACAACAGCTTTTCCCCTATATTTTTGATAGATAATTTAATTACTGCTTGGGTGAAATATCAGTATCCTTTTGTGGAAGAAAAATATAACTGAATTTTTTTTGTTAGTGTACAGCCTCCTTTTTAGTTTAAAGGCTCAGGAATATCTTTCTGCATTAGGCTATATATAGTAGTATTAGATATAAGATAACAGACACATGAATGCTTCTTACCATTCCAGAAATAAGTTTTACTCCTAAAAAACTTCAGTGAGGCTATTGTTTTCACTGATGCCACAGATATTTCCATCTACTTGTGCAAAGACATAATCTAAAACTCCTAGCTGGAAAATATGTTGAAGAGTTAATTTTGTCTAATTCTATATGACTTGGTATAAATTTTTTGTTAAACTGAACAGAGGGCTTTGCTTCCTCTATTATTCTCTACTGTATTCAAGCAAAAGTAGTACAAAAAATATAGAATTCTGAAAATGAATAAAGTCTGAATTGTAGCCCAGAGGTTTTAAGTCAGTGTAACCTGTTGAACTTTCAAATAATGGTTGAGGAGAAAATGGATGAGGAAAAAATAGATTATTTCTGTGAATCTAAAAATATTTTTAAACAGAGTCTAATGAAACAGGCTTTAAAAATGGTGTACTTTTCACTTGGTCCATGATTTTAACTATTTTTAATTTACTGCTGTAATCTGAACACTTCAGGCTGAGCTCTTTCATCTGTCATCAATAATTTAAATGCTTTCATCTTCATCATATATCTGATTCTATATCATAAAAGACATATGTAGTCTACCTGATAGCACAACATGTTGAAATGAAAAATAATTTAAAAATCCCCACCACAAGAAGTGCAACATTGTTGGCATTTATTCATATATATTTACCTTTGTTATATGAAATTTGCTAAAACTTATATTTACAAGATGTGTTGGAAATTAATGAAGGATAGCTACTGAATATGTACTCAAGTCTTTGCACTATAATATTTAAAGAAAAACTATTAGGAATGCAAATTTATTAGAGGATGAAGATTTGGACTGTATCTGTGTAGAATTTGATACCTATTTCCACCTGCTTTTCAGTACCTCTTCAAACATATGACCTTCCCGTTCATAATTCTAGCATTAAGTAAATTTTGTGTGGAGCTCGGAAATATAGAGGAATGGGAAATATATGGTGACAAAAATCTGTTTTATACTAATAATATGGCTGAAGGGTCAGTTAAATGTCACTCTAATTGCCACCTATTGATGGTTCTTTGTAATTTTTGCAGGAAAGTCAGGTTTAATTTAAATGGAGCTTGTAACTGGTAGGAGTCAATCACTTAAGCACACCTCCTACTGAGGTTGTATTACTTTTTCATCACTTAGTGTACAAGCATTAATCCACTTGAGTTCTCTGTGTGAGCTTAACACCCTCTTTGTTGTTGGTGTTCTGACAGCTGTTTTGGGTAAACTGCTAAAGGAATCTGCTCCCCATCCCAATCTTGATTAAGTCCTAGGGGAACCTCTAGCCCTACTGTCCTGATGGCTGTTTTTCCCCTACAGGAGGGAGGTGTCGTTGCTCTCTTTAAGATCTGTCGCCAGGATTGTTTCAGGTGCCTTTATCCCCAGACCCTGAGAACGCTGGCATCAATTTGCTGTGTAGAGGAAGGGATGCACCAGCTGGAAAAGGTAGGCACTTCGGGGTTCCTTACTGGCTGTGTCATAAAATACAGAAGCCCTGTCTTTAATATCTTCCAGAAATTGATGATTTGGTGGTGTTTGATACTGTGTTCCATACTATGCTTACCTTTTCTCTGCTGAACACATTTTCAGTCTTCAAAAAATTAATCTCAGCAATAGCATTGTCCTATAATCCTTGCACAAATAAGCTTTGTAAGTGGGGATAATTTTGTAAAACAGGTAAACATGTTGATGACTACATCACAAAAGGAGAACAAAAACGAGAGAAATTGTCTTCTGGACATTCTAAAGCATTTAGAAACTCCACTGTTTCAAATAGTCCTTAAAAGACAGAAGGTTCTATACCTCTTTAAGTCCTTTCCTGATGGTCTGATAGGGCTCCTGCTTGTGGCAGTGCTGCAGCTTGTGAGTGTTGTAGATGTACAGAAAGAAGTGGGACAGACACAGTCATTAGTCAATCAAAACATGTGTCTGCTAATCAGCAGCAGCTTTCATAAAAGCCACTTTTAACTGAGATGGCCAACATCAAAACATTATCCAGAGAAAATTATATCAACTTCTTAGGCTCCTTCCCTTTCTCACATTCGCTACATACTGCTGTGTTTTGGAAAATGAACATTTCTGGTCACTAAATCATGATCTCATCCTTTGTATTTCATAAAAGAGTCATCTTCCTCAGCTGAATAATGGCCTCTTGAAGTTAATGATAAATGATTTCACTGGTCCTTTACACTGACATGTCTTGTAATTTACTTCCCTGAATTCAAGCAAACTGTGACAGAACACCTGCAGCAAAAAGCAAGTCTCTGAGTTTACAGTAAATGAAGATGACTTAAATTTTTTTTTTTTTACATGATGCTGGTTCAGACTAGCACCAGAATTAATCTAAAAGTATCTTTCATTATGTCCATTATAATGGTGGAGTTATTAGAGGTAGAAATGAAAAAGATTGATTCAAGTCACCAGGTCCAATTCCTGGCAGCATCAACACGTGTTTAATGTGGCCCATATCAAAGCTGATGGAACAGGAGTCCCAGAAATGGCCAACACTCTCAAGCTCATGTTTCTTTGATTTGCTTTAATGTTGGCCACAAGCAAAGTTGTTCAGGGTAAACTTGATCACAACTGGAGCAGGGTTTAAAGGATTTGCAACTGAAATCCCCACCTTCAAGGGCTTTCAGTTCTTCAATCATCATCTTTAAATATGAATAGGTTTTTTCTTTCAAAATTTGAAGGACTCTTCTGAAGAACACAAAAGAGAGTTATTAGCAATCCTACAATCACAGAAGTTATCACAGGACTTCTTATGTGGCAGAAAGGTGGCTTCTTTTATCCAACAAATTATCTGGGTGCTGGTGAATAATTTAATTTCTCTAATATGAATATCATTATGCCACCTAGTGCATTAAAATATCAGTGCAATTTGAACTGGGATTTTAATGATAGAAACCTCACTTAAAAAACCCAAACTTGGCTACTGAGCAATTCAGATTAGGCAAATCAAGACTAAAAAAAACCAGAAAAAAAACCTATGCAAGCCTTCCTCCCTGTATTTTTAATTAGATTAAGCAGCCATTGCAGTGTTTAAAAGACCATTTAAAAGAAAGCAGCAAGTGCTATAATTTCTTTTGAAACACTTATCTGAGAGGTGAACTAAAAGGGGGTGGTACCCTTTCTCCAGTAATTGCAGTGCTTAATTGCTAAAGACATCAGGAATATTATTTATTTGTCCAGTGTTTTTTGATCTTGCCAATTCAGTGCTCATTTCTAAAGATGTAGAAAATTGCCTATTTTAATAAAAAAGCATTTCTTTCAATTAAAAAAAAAAAAAATTCTTGTTTTTCCCAGCAACACATCTACAAATATATCACACTAGAAAAAGCCATTATCACCTTTTTATCAGCTTGATAAACAAGCTGATCTTTGCTATAATTGCAGTGATAAGGTAGCTGTTGCAATGATTAGCTTTTCCTCTTTTCGGTGAATCTAGTTGGGTCTGTGTACAGTGATGTAAAACCACTTGGTTAAAATGTGATTTTGGAGCAATTATTTCACTTGCAAGTACTTTACTGAATTTTGATAATATACTAGTACTCTTTGCTGTACATTGAAGTGCAGAGCTCCAGGAACTCAAGAGTGACAAATTAGGCAATTAAAGTAGAAAAATGGTGAAGAAATAGTCTCATTGTGTGCCTGAGGACTGCAAAAATAAATGTTCTCTGTAAGCTGTGCTCAACAAGTGGTAATTTTTGTGCTTCAAGGTGCTTCAAGCTGCTTGTGGGTGTCTGGTTGTTTGATACACTTTAATTTTGTAATCCAGTGTGGCACCAGCAGGTTTGAGATCATTATTTGGTCTGAGCTTTCTGACCAGTCCTACTTTAGAGTGGAGTGGAGAGACCTGGAAAAGCAACCAGAACATATTATTCCTATAGCTGTTTGTCCCTGTACTCAAGAGAACTTTGTCATCTGTCTTGTGCCACTCAAGCATTTTTAGGGGAAAGCTCACTGCAGCACCAGACAAGTTGGTTTTTCTTGATGTGGGCATTCCAGAGTTTATACAGACACAATAAGTAATACAGATAGTTGGGAATAGAGAAAATAGATAAAATCCCTAAATCCCTAACTGAAATGAGTCTGTGAGAGCTGAGCGTGACTGAAACTGAAGAACAATGTTAGTGCTGCACTTCCAGACAGACCTGGTGGTGTGTCCTGCTCTGAGGTTTAGGACAAATACAGTGATGAAGTGGGAGGTTGGTTCTTGAGATTTGTTGAGAGTTCTGGAGAGAAGAATATCTGAACCTTTATGAATGTGTTTTGCAAACTTAATTCACCTAAATGAAGCAAGGAGAGCTGGAGGCACAGAATTGGGATAGATTATTGTGTGTATTTAGTGACACTTAAAGTTCAGAAAAAGTAAAAATTGTGATATTGGTGACATTTATTTTGCAAATTGCATTAGGAATAACTGTACTTCAAGTAATGCTTTCGTCATGAAGACAAAAAATCTAACAGATCTAGTTTTCAACATGGAGCAACCTTGCCTGGAAATGGGGGTTGTGCTTGAATAGACTTTTTTTCTAAAGCAATTCTTCAGGTCTTACCCCTTGGAGCATACATTAGGTCCTTGTTTTGCAGAGGTGTCTGAACAAAGTTTCTCCCACACATTTGGTGACTTGTAGCCTCATTAAGGTCTAAAAACTGTGGCAGTTTCTCTGCTTCAGGACTGTCTGTACAAAAGTTGGTGGTGGTGGTACTAAAAGGCACAGCTTTCCAATTTTTGCCCTACTGAAGCTCAGTTGTGTGGTTTTTCACTGAAGCTTCTGTGGCAATAAACTTCCTGCTGCAATAAAAGGACTGCAGAGCTTGTTCAGAAATAAATAGCAAACAGTGCAACATACTGCATTTTTTTTACTGTGCATGTGAAATGTTATCACATTAAAAAAGTGCAGCTTAGGTAGGACCTAGATCAAGGGTTAACTGCCACAAAACCAGGATGATTATACAAACAGCCAGCTGCCTCAATTTTAACAGTGTGCTGAGTATGGTTACTTGCGTTATTTAAACTACTCCAGAAAGCAAGACCTGGAATCAGCTCATTAAGAGGAGATAATCCAGACACACTGGTGACAACAGCTGTTACTTTCATTAGTAAAACCTTTTTAATAAATGATACAGCTTTTATCACTGTGCTTTAAGCAAAATTGCCTAGGAATAGATTACAAATTACTTTGAATCCTTCATTTAAAGTGCACTAAATCAAATTACCTCCAGAAGAGGAACAGTAAAGAAAGTATGAAGTGTACATTATTTGTGGCTGGGAAAATACACGAATTTTATAAGACTTCCAAAACATGAGTGGCCTAAAAATCTACTACTCACTGTAAACCCAGTCTGAGCCTCAGAATAACCATATTCTTATACACAGTAATAATTTCTGCATGATGGTAATGCAGTATGTCCATGATACTGCTGAAAAAAACAGGTTTTTCTGGGGAATGAAGTAAAATGTATATTACAGAACCTCTTACTGCAACTTACTCATAGTTTTTGGGTGCATGTGTGTTGATTGCTTAATTCAGCTCTAACCACTTGTAACTTTCAGTTTCGGACATTAACCTCAGTTAAAATCATGGAGTATTTTTGTCTCAGGTGAAGTCTCAGCTGCTAAAACCACTGAAGTCCATGTGACTGCAGGGTGAGACAGAAACGAGAACACTGTATTAGGAAGAAATTCCTCACTGTGAGAGTGGTAGAGTACCAGAAGAGGTTTCCCACAGAATCTGTGGATGTCCCATCCCTGGAAGTGTTCAAGGCCAGATTGGATGAGGCTTTGGGCAGTCTGGTATAATGGAAGATATTCCTACCTATGGCAGGGAGGTTGAAAGTTGATGATCTTTAAGATCCCTTCCAACCCAAACTATTTTGTGAATTATAGAGAGAGCTTTGATTACGAGAGCTTGGATAGTATGAATGTGAAGTCACTAATTCAAAGGCTGACTGTAAAAGTTAGCTGGTGGCCCATGGATTTCATTGTCACAGCATGGGAATGTTCCACAATTGTGAATGTTTTAATGTTCATAGTACCTGGTGCACAGTGGAAGTAACTTTGTACAGTGCAAGAGATGGAAAATTTTCCTGATCTGAATGAACTATTTAGCTGTCTTCATAGTTCATTATTCTAATTGTAGAATAACCAGGGATATTATTAATATTTTAATATGAATATTAATTCTCTTAATTAAGAGAAACGTTATTTCTTTTCTAAAAAAGGTATATGAGATTGCCAGGTTAGGTAGGAGAAACCCTTAGGTTGCTACATTTAAAAGCATGCCTGCAGGTTGTTTGCTTCTTTTAAGAAATGCAAGTTTTCTGACAAACAGGGAAATGTTGATATTTATTGTGGCAAATGGTGGCTTATTTACTGGACTTCCAACAATGAGTTTCAGAAAGGGCATATTTCTGCCTCAGCCTCTTAGCCCTTATTGCTC